AAATTAAAACACAAATGGTTGTTACCAAGACAGCCTCTCTAATGATGTATCTTCCTTCCAAACTGAACGATGAGCAACCAACCACAAAAAATAAAAAAATACATAAAATAGTCATTAAAATCATATGAGCATACTACCTTGAAAAAAAAAAGAACAAAACCCATGAAAAATATTCTACGTTATATCCTCCAACTAACTCAACTTTCGCTTTTGGTAAATCAAAAGAAACAGGATTCGTTTCCACTAAACAAAAAATAAACAATTGAATCAATAAAGGAAAAGAGGAATACGAAACAATATTTGTTTTTATGCTATGATGATTTTCATGAAATTACAAGAACCTATTACGTAAATTAATGGACCTCAATACGTATAAATCTTAGGTCAAATTCATTTTCAGATTACTTTCTTTGGTGTGAATTTAACTTTCTTTCCTATGTATTTCTTAGGTCTTGCGGACATGCCACGCCGCATTCCAGATTATCCAAACGCTTATGCGGAATGAAATGCACTGAGCAGTTTAGACTCTTGTTTTTATATTTAAGGAATTTCAGTTTTGTTCGTAGACAATGATTCTATTGCGATAATCTCTATTATCAACGATGCGAGAAACACGTTGCACACTTGACGTACAATTCTTACCCTTCTCACCAACCGTCAGTGACACCCATGGAAGAAAGAAAAGAGAATTTGCAGTACGTACACAAAAGACAAGTTAGAGGTAGACTGGAGGGTTTAGCAATAGGGAAACCTGTTTGCCTGTGGATTCGATCACAAACCTTCCTGAAGGTGTGCCCCCGTTGTCGGGACCTGTGGGTCTCGAAACAAGTCCTTACCCTTGAGAGATGGTATACGACAAAATTATGCCCAACAGAGAAAACAGGAGGCAAGAGAGATAGGAAGGAAGAAAAGCTTAGGCGTAAGGGTCAGTATCTAGGGGTGTAGAGAATGCCGTGGGCGGCCAGAACCACTGGACCAAAAAGAGATTAGTAGAATAGCAAGCGGCCAAGGGCCGCAAGAGAATAGTAAAGGCGATCCTCCTTCCCGAAAGAAGGACCTCCAGGAAAAATAATACCCTAGGTTGCGCACCAGAGGAACAAAATAGTCGAGAAAGTCAAAAAAATAGTGTTGGGGCACCGACGTATGAGAACGTAGTGCGGGGCGAAGAGGGTCATCGGAGTGCGGCATAAGAAGGGCCAACGGGTCATGAGCCAAGTAAAAGGGTGTCGCGGACCACAAGAGAGGGTCGGGGATCATAAAAAAAAGAGCCTCGACGACCATAAGACGCTAGAAGAGAAGGGCCCTAGCATGAAGGACACCCACGACAACTGACGGGAGCCGCAATAATAAAAGGCCATGACCGGAAATACCAGCGCGTGTGAGGCATGGAAAGAGACCGGAAATGCGGCAGCCATGGGGCGGAAAACGCCAAGAGAGACTATGACACCACGAGGAAAAGTTTGAGGGACCATATGAGACTAAGAAAAAATAATGGTTTTTTGGGTGAAGAACCGGTGGGACCACCGGCGGGACAAGAGTCGGCACGACCATCGGCGGGACAAGTGCCGGTAGGATTATCGGCGGGACAAATGTCGGGGACTAGCGCGAGACAAGTGGCGGGGACTTGTGATGTACCAAGGGAAAGTTATGGAGGACAATGAGAAAAATATGTCCAAAGCAAGATGTGCCGTCAAAACTATGATCCAGACGTGCCAACACTAGTGAAAGCAGTTGCAAGGACCAAAAGGAGAAAAAAAACAAAAGAAAGCAAGGGAAGGGGCATGGCAGCAATCCGAAATATATTGGATTAACCACGTTGAAGAAAATGAAGTCTAGAGAGACTCCATGTGAAAAATAGGCTCCTGGGAGAGAATCAGAGTAAAGGGGGTCACAATTTGAAAGAAAGAGAGGCAAAAGGAGACTCGCATGAGCATGGGGGAACCACAGTTGAAGTCCGACAAATAACGGACTGCACCTTGAGCATAGGAAGGACCAGAACGAAGAGGAAGGGTCTAGAAAAAACCTCAACAACTAGTTTACACTTGACATGCTAGGAAAAAAAAAAAAAAGTGGGATAATAAGACAAGAGGAGTGAGGGGGAGTGCGTGAGTTGGCCATCTGTAGGGACTGGGAGGTCCCTACTGTTCGAAAATGGAAAAAAAAAAAAAAAACGGAAAAAAAAAAAAAAGAGAAAAGGACCCTAACGGTAAAAAACGGTCACTTGGGGAGATACATCCGTGACCAGATACATCCTGGGATATGGCAGATGCAAAGTATCTTGATTTTCTCTTGATTTTGCAGAGAAAATCAAGAAAAATCAAGGCCTCATGCAACCGAGATGGAACGGATCGCATGAGGGAAGAGAAACACATGTTTTAGGTGCATTAAGAGTCAATATTAAGTCCCTATGCAATTGAAAGTTGACCGTTTTGTTTTGTTTTAGTTTGGGGCAAGTTGTGGTGTCATAGGGCTAGGGAAAATGCCACCATAGGCGTCCTAGAAATAATGGACTACATGGGGGTGCCTAGGCCAAATAAAAAAGGGCCTTGGGACACCCATGATAGAAGGAAATAGTGTTTTGGGTTTGGGTAAGTGGAGACAGTAAATGGTGGTCGCGAGATGATGGATCTCGCGCCCGAGAATATTCACGGTACTTGAGGCCATGAGAGGGATAAATTGGGACTGTCGGGGACAAGAGAGTTCCAAATAAAAATGAGACGTTATCGGGAATGATGTCGGGGACTAGATAGGCCTAAATAAAAATAGTAAAAAATTGGGACATGCATCGGCGGGACCATCGCTGGGACTAGAAAATGAGACGGGACCATCGTCGAGACATGGGAGAGTGGCGGAGACTTGAATTGTGCCAAGGGAATCGTGAGCCAACAAAAGGGAGGAACGTGCAAGCAAGTGGCGACGTCAAGATTAAGATCTTGACGGTGAAAAATATTAGCCACTGTGAATGCGAAACTGAATGAGTCAAGGGAGAGGGTGCTAAGAGACAAAAAAATAGAAAAAGGATGAAAGAGTGACTGCCCAATATACCGAGATATCTCGGACTAGCAAGACATAGAAAAATAAAGCCCCAAGGGGCTCTATGCAGAAAATAAACTGCCAAGGAAAAATTGGAGTAAGAGGGGGCTCAAAAATGATAAAACAGAGACAAACGGGAGCCCCCATGAGTATGGGGGCTTCATTATTGCAATCTGAGATGTAAAGACCAACTGCTCGATATGAATCTGGCCTTAAGTGACGATCTAAGGCCTAGAAAGAGGGTGCACAACTGCTTGACATTTATCACAACAGAAATAAAAGAAAAAGAGAGAAAAATGGAAGAAAAAAGAGGGAAAATGAGACAAAGGGGGAGAAAGGAGTGAAGGAGAATTGACCGGTCAGCTGGGACTGGCACAATAGGGACTGGCAGGTCCCTACTGTCACCTCATCCCTCTTGATTTGGTGGAGGGCAATCCGGATTGCAGAGATAATACTGTTGGGGCATTATCTCAGCAATATCTGAATTGAAAAAAAATAAAAATGAGTAAAAATGCAAAAAAGAGCTGACCGCTTTTTTTGTGGACGATGGATCTGAGATCAAGTCTCATGGAGGAGAGCATATGGTCATTTTTTGTGGGGCTAGCTCAAACGGCCAACTCCGGAATAAGTTGGCAGTCCAAAATGAAGAGAAACGAAAGAGGGAAAAAAACGAAATTGTGCATTTGGCCAAAAAGGAGGACCATGTGCACAAAAAATTGAAAAAGTGAGCCTAGGGGTTCAAAATTGAAGCAAGGACCACTTGGGGGTAGCTCGGAATATTGCTGGCCATGGATCTCAGCCAGATCCAAGGCTGAGATGACACCGAGACATGAGAAAATATCTTGGTCTATCCAAAATGAGGTAGAATGAAAAAAAATCGAGAAAAAGGCTCACAAGGCTTTTTTCTTTCAAGTGAGGCTGCCCCTTGGGCATTTGGACTCAAGGGGGCAGCATTTCAAAAAGGAAAAGAGACTTGAGGAGGCCCAAGGGGTAGTCCGGGTTGGTACCAACCACTCGGACTGCATGTACTTGACCAAAATGAGGTTTAATTGCCCCCGTAGAGACCTAATGGTGAAAATTGGCTATCAGGATACCTCGGTCCACTTAGAGGCACATGGGGAGGCCCATGGGTTGGCCGGTGTGCGGGCTTCAACCTACATAACTGAGGAAACAGTCCGTCAAACTCACATCTGCATGAGGAGTGCTCATGCTGCCCAAGTGAGTTCATGAGAGCACGCTAGTCACTTGGAGAGCCCCCAGGCTATGAGAAAGAGAGAGAGTGGCAGACTGCGGTAACAGCCTGTAGGGAAGGGCACAGAAACCGGAGACAACCATACACATACAATTGAGACAAAGCAAATCCTTCGAAATAGGCTCGTCGTGAACAGTACATCAAGCACAGTATTCAAAATCTGCCCCCGCGAAACCCAACCATCAAAGCATGAGTAAGTCACCGACATATGAGTACAGCATAGTCCCTAGCTACCATAGCTAACATCTTCCCATTTCACTCGACAACGCAGGTCCTTCTACTGGTTTCATCCATTTGCATGAAATCGCCAGGAAGGCGCGTTCATAGAACGCTTCTGTCGAAAAGAGAGGTCAGTGCCTTGCCTCTTTTGGTACTTATCCGCGACGTACTCACACTCGATAAAATAACTAAATAAAATAAATACCATAAAATAAATAAATACCCCTGAAACTTCCAATACTGGAACTATCCGTTCGTGGCAGCGTGTGCCTTTGTGAAATTGCACGCACCAGGACTACATCAGAGGCTAAAACAGAAAACCAAAATCGTAGTCTTTCTACTGTAGGCATAAAGGTCCAATGTCCTCGACTGAACTTGACAGGTACCGGGTACGTATTCACGCCAAAATACGGTCCGAAGATAAATAAAACAAATAAATAAATCCAAACTCCGATGCTGAAGACTTCTGTCGTGGTAGCTTGTGCCTATGGGGAGTTCCGGAAAAATTTTATGTCTCAAGTCGTCAGATAAAGGCACACATGTTCGTCGAAATGCTCTACTTCGAGAAGTTGCAGCCTGTGAAAATCCCGAGTCGCTGTTCCGTGTCCCAGCTCGTCAGCCCGTAACTGTTTCGCAGGAAGTTCCACGGATCGAGTCTCCTCAGAATCTTATGGCAAGATAGCCAATATAATCTCAGGTTGACCAGAATAGATTCTCCCGTAACCTTGGCAAGCTTAGCCAAGGCGCCGAGAGAGACCTCTGAGGGGTAGCCTCGGAGGTCGCTCTCCAGTAGCGCATAAGCAATAGTGCTTGCCGTGAGAGCAGGAGATGTAGAGGAGTTCCAGATCCTCTTTAGGTTCGCGGTCATAACCGCCTTCTTCATCTTTTTTTCTGAATAACTCACGAAATCTTGTAGTGACTGGTACCGGAGCATACCGTCTTGCCTTATGCAGTCTGCATTCTTGATATCTTGAACGAAATGTACCTGGACCGGATCTGCCATGATGTACATTCGCCCTCCAACGAACTGCCACGTATTGCTCCCATCATCCTTGCGTACCAACTTCAGGCGCGGATCGTACGCAGCTTCGAATGCGTCCAGGTTGTCGTGTGCTCTTGTCCACGCTCCCCCTTCCTTGTTGCATCCCACGACTATGGACACGTCATCCACCATTCTCCAGCCCTTCACAAGTCTCTTGTCCGCTCCTAGTGATTTTAGGAACTTCGTCTCATCCATGGCACATGTGACCGTAGCGAGTATCGGGCTCATCGTCTTTCCCATAGGTATTCCTACGATCTGTCGCCTGATCGTCTCTCCGCACCTCATGTACGCATGTGATAAGTCGTAGTTGACCATCTTGAAAATAGTGTTCATACCTACTTTTACATATCCGACTTCCTTCCGGTCAGTCTTCGACAAAACAATCAGTCTTCCTCTTACTGCGACCTTTACTTGACACCAATTCTTGTTCTCAAAATCTCGGATGAGTTCAAACACCGCACTTCTCACGGCATCATGTGGAATCGAGGAGAACATCTCCTTGATGTCATAGCATCTTCCTATCGCCAAACTGCATCCTTGTTCTCCAAACTCCGTGTCGGCTCGTAGCGCTTCTTCTTTCAGCTGGATAGTTGATGCCAGATGAAAATTCAAACGCTTGTCATATCGTGTGATTAAGCAGTGTAGTGCCCTGGCACACCGACGCTGTCCCAACCTAGCCGGGTCATCACAGGCCGGAGCGATAGGCCTCCATCGTTGGAGGTCTTTATCCTTCGGGATGATGTACGCCTTACCTAGTTTCCCCTCGTTCCTCCATTTTCCCACCGCTGTCATACCTACTTTCTCATAGTCTTCCTTGCATCGTTGCAGAATATCGTGCTCGCTTTTCTCGACTCTCTCATAGTCAGGATTCCAGGTAAACGTGCATCCAAAAACATGTCTGTATAGTACCGGGCAGATAACGGCAGTATCGCCATTATTCCGGTCTATCGGTGCTAGAACCAATCTGTCGTACTTCTAAGCCCACATTCTAACCTCATAGTCCGTCCAAGTACCAGGTGTGTCATCTACTCCTCTGAAGCAAGCCTATACATCGAGTTGTTCTTCCTTACTCCCTTTCAGATGTGCCATGGCGTTCAGTATACCCGAGACGAGATCTGTTTCGCAGTGTGGTTTCCCACTTTTTGTGACGTTCTTCGAATTTCGAACGAAATTCGGTGTATCCTTGATCTCTGATCTATCTAACACGTGACCTTCGTATCTAGCCAGTGAGAAATTCACACAGTTACAGGTTGTAGGCAGTGTATGTGCGTAACTCCTGTGTGTATGGATGATATCCCCAACTGTTCTGTTCTTAGTAGTCACGATCCGTAGTTTCTTCTTCACAAAAGCTGCCACCGCCTCATCTTCTATCCTAGTGGAGATTACCCTTTCTACCACCTTTCTTACTTCCGCTGTCCTCATCATTGAACTGTACGGATATTTAACCGTTACCTTCCTCCTGACAATGATTCCTGTCTTGCGTCTCAGTGTCCGGTCAAGCTTCACTTTCAGTTTGTTTCTTGTTTCCTTTTTACCGAACAGTCCAGCCGTGCAATATAGTCCTATCAATTTGCTAGTAGAGAGTCACGTCATAGAGGAAGCCATGCGGGGCTGTTTGAGCAGACTCTGTAGGGTGTACCGGTTTCTTTCGGTCGTCGTCTTAGTTCGGATTATCTTCACAATCAGTGCTTTCGTGCCCGATTGGCAGATCCGTTTTATGTTCTTGAGCGGCAGTGTGTGGCCCTCGGCCGTGATTATAGTGCGACCAAACTTGGCGACCAGTTTCTTCCAGTCGTCTGCCCAGACCTGTCCACTATTAAAAATGATTTCCAGATTCCGTTCTTGTTTCCCTAGCTTCTCATCTGACAGATTGATGAGAGAAGTTCTAGTCTGATCATCTATTGTGAAGCTAACCACAGTCTTTCCATGTCTCTTCCCCACTCGCCTCTTCCGTTCTCTCCTACCTTTCCGTCTTCTCGTCCTTCTTGTCGCTGCACTTCCTATCCCCATCCTGTTCAGGCTTGGCGATAGTTCTTTGATGAGATGCTGCTCAAACGTGACGTCGTCTGCATTCAGGGAATGTCGGATCGGTACTATGACAAAGTTGTGCACCCCTATTTTCCTCATCCACTTGTAAAGCTGAGGTGCCTTTCCCAGCGTTTTTGACGTAGCTGCCAGGATATGTTGCTTCCACCGTAGAAGAATAGGTCGTGTAGTGCAACCCACGTATACCTTCTTAGTTAGTGGACTGGTGATTACGTAAGTACCCCCAGTCCTCAAATCCAATAGTCCGTCCGTCACGTCCAACTTGTCGAGGTACGGTTGCAGCCACTTCAATTCTCCCGAGAATCCGAGCAGGATTGTCGTCAAAGTGATGAGTCTTTCCACCAACGTCATCCGATCCCCTTCCGCGCCCTGCCCCCTAAGAGCCTCACGTTCCTTCATGCATGACCTGAGAGTCTGCCAAAGGTCTGTGATAGGGGGCGTTGACCGTCAATCCGATTCGGGTTCGTGTTCTTCTTCCGTGTTAGCCGATCGAAGAACGACTCGTGGTATATCTTGGTTCAGTTTTGCCTTGCCTCTGGTCGTCATAGTAGACTTTCCAGCTTCAGGTGCAGCTTGAGGGGTCTTCTCTTCGTCTCGGCCTATCTTCAGAGTTGTTGTCTTCTTCGTGAGTGGTGTCGTGAAGTAACCTTCGTATGCCAATTCCGTCTGTCTCCTGACCAGTTCCATCACCATGTCTTCTTTCTTGGTTGCTTTGATTCCGTACTTCGTACAAAACACCTTTAATGTCGTCGCTTTCTCGGCAGAGTACTGTTTTAGGACTACCAGTGTATAGTCCATAAAACCTTCCTTCGAGCATCCGGCAGAGATGCCTTTGTAACCTTCCGACAGCGGGGTCTTCAGTTCAAAGGTCATCTTCCGGGGTGTTGCTGGTGGCGTCGAAGGGGTTCCCTTTCTCCGCGAGCATTTTCCTTTTTCTATGGTTCTCCTCGGAATACTTCTCTCCTCCGATAGCCTTGCCTGCTTTCTCCTCACCTTTAACTTCTTACCTCCGCGCCGCCTTCTATCCCTGATCTCCGGGCTTTCGTCTCCCGACTCCGCAGTCTCACCCTCCGTAGAATCTCTCTCCTCGGTTTCTGACGAGGAAGAGGAATCGGAGGAATCGACATACCTCCTCTTATCTTTCTTTTTTCTCGAGATCTTCTTGGCTTTCCCTTTCTTCCCATACTTCTTCGCGATTCCCTCGCCTGTCGAAGGAACTCGCGGAGTAGCCAGTTTCTGGTTCGCCGACTCGTCGTTCTTCTTCTTGTCAAGTTCTCCCGCCTTAAGAGTCGTGTAACGGAAGCGAGGCTGAGGGAGACAGGAAGAGCCGAGGGAGAGGGGAGAGGGAGAGAGAGAGAGAGAGAGAGAGAGTGAGAGCACACACACACACTCACTCCCTCGACACGATTGAGGGTCGGGCGCAGACACAGTGGCAAGGACACAAAGTCGAAGTCTTGGATTTCGAATGCCGAAAACAGCAAGTCACACTGAGTACGAGTACAGCAGCAGAGAACTGGTACGAGACTGGTCCCCGTACTGTACGGGGCACCGGTATAAGTACCGGGTGTTCGCTACAGTACCGGGGCAAATCTGCAAAAGCTCCGAGGGCAGAACTGAAAAATGCAACATTTGAAAGTGGCCTCCGAACTGCAGCATGGCGCCAATTGTCCAAAATCCGACGGTACCAAAGGAGGGGTTTGGAAAACGGGTGCCAAGCCAAAAACGTGATGCAGCAGAAACAGCAAAAAGTAGACCAGGGATCGAGCCCTGGCGGAGTCCGTAACACTATCCCCTCCCTCTAAAAGGCAACGTCCCGGCTGCCAAAAACCTAAGGAAACAAAAAGGAACTGTGAAGGACGGGACGGGGCCGATTACTGGTCAGAAGTCAAAGGAGGAAGAGGGGGTATAATGCGGGTGGAGGGGTATTGCAGGGAAACAAGGTAATCCTATTGATTTTCCACAAGGAGGAGTAGGTGACAAGGTTACTACAGGGAAACAGGATAGTCCTATGGAGGTTCTACAAGGGTAAGCAGGGAACAGGGTAATCCTATTGATGTTCTACAAGGGTGAACAGGGAATGGGTATTCCTACTGATGTTCTACAAGGGTGAACGGGGAATGGGGTATTCCTACTGATGTTCTACGAGGGTGAAGAAAACGGGTTTTATAAAAGGAAAGAAAAATTGTCTTTTGCAAGTTCAAGGGCAAGGTTCACATGTACAAGGGCTGGGGTATCTGATGGGGTCTGGGTATATAGTCGGGGGTTTGTAGAGGGTGAAAGGAGGTCCGGGGTGGGAAGGTCTCCAAGTGTCGTGATCAACAACAAGAAGAAGGGGTCTTMAGAAGTCTTGAGCAGGTCCCGGAGTAGACGGCAGAGCGGTCTTCAACGGCTGCAACAGGGGGTAGTGGTAGAGGTAGTCCAAGAGTCCATAGTCCATGTGCAATGGTGCGTCCGGTA